TCCTGCTATGATACATTAAAATACCTATCAGTCAAAGAACATAATTTTTATTTTTTTGTTGTATGTAAATATAACAATCTAAAATTGTTATATTTACATACAACATGATATAACAATCTAAAATTGTTATATTTACATGGTATTTCCATACTTGCACATCCATATTACAAGCTACCTGTTGTCAGCAACATCTGTTATGAATATAGAACATAGGGCAATACAATAATTGGACTAAAAAGATGGATGATTTTTTTGGGTCTTTTTGCACATAATCAGCACCAAAAAATTAGATTTTGTGGCAGAGTCCAACAAGACTCACCAGGTCGATGTTGGTGATATCGATGTAAGTTTTAAATTACTCATAAAAAATTATCCATTCTAAGTAAATTTAAATTGTAAAATAGTTTAAAACACTAAAAAGAGTGTAAAGCAATTAAAAAACCATCACTTTATATCATCCCATATAGATATCAAAATCTTAATGTGGGAGAGGAGGACATCATGTTTTTTTTTTTTTTCTTTAAAAAAAAAATAATAGTAAAAAATTATTTTAGTAGCAGACTAGTTGTGGATATTCAACATCTTCATTGGAAAAAAGTTTTAGAGTTTAAAAAAAGTGAGCTTTTAAATGCATCAAACTCCATAGTTGTAGAACTAGAAACATTCAAGTGTCAAATTGACCTAGTTTTCTGGCTAAACATGATTTAATTGATTAGCATCATGTTTAATACAATGATGTAAATAAATAACTAGATGTCTAACTTCGGGGTTTTAATAAAATAAAAGTGAAGTCGATTTATTTGTTTACTATTTTAATCAGCCATTAATATATCGGGCAGAAAACAATAAATATCATATATAATATAGAGAGTAAATTCGCGAAATTATTTCTTTTACCTTGCTGAAGTATTTATTTAATTCAACTATTTTCATCACAAAATGGTAAATTCTTGTGCTGCATATGGATGTTCTGATAGATATATAAAAGGTGGCACAAAATCCTTTCATAAATTTCCTCTTCAAAATTTTGAATTATGTAAAAGATGGATTGTTGCTTTGAAACGTGAAAATTTTCTTCCATCAAAACACACCTGTATCTGCAGCGACCATTTTTTAGAATCAGACTACAATTACTGTATCCCAGACAAAAAAAATCCAAGTCTTGATCTTGGATTTTTTTTGGATCATCATCATAAGCCTATTTTAAAATGTTATGCTGTGCCATCAGTTTTTATATTTTCTACAAATATTCAAAAGACAAAAAGGAAACTCCCATCAATACGAACATCAGTAAATTCATCATCTAAATTTGATCCTTTATTGAAAAAAACAAAGTTTGATGTTTGATGTTTGCCCTGCTATAGACAAACCCAGCAAAGAAATTAATTCAACACATAATAATCAGCCAGAGAGCACTATTGATAAAAATAACCACAACAGTCAATCTCCAACATAATCTATAAGATCATTTTTTAATTTTTCTTTTGCTGGTGCAAAAGAAAAATTAAAAAAAAGTTAAGGTTTTACAACAAAAATGAAGAAGAAAAGAAAATCTTTTTTTTACAAAACATGGTTTCCCTTTTAAAATCTAAAAATTATTTGACTACTGATGCTGGAACTGTTTTAAGCAAAAAATTTTCTGGACTCTCATATGAAATCATTAAGAACCAATTTTCCAATCAAAATGTTAAACCAAAAGGTCACAGATACAACGATGAAGTAAAAAGATTCACTTTAACTCTTCATTTTTATTCTCCATGTGCATATAACTTTCTTCGGCCAATGTTATGTCTTCCTGATGCCAGTTCAATATCACATTGGAAATCATCTGTAAATTGTGATCCCGGTTTATTCCTTGATGTTTTTTCATATCTTGGTGATAAACAGAAAACAGAATTTTAAGCATTGTGCTCTTATTATTGATGCTATGGCAATCAAAAACAGTATAACTTATGACAAAAATTTTGTATCAAAAGTATTACAATTGATGGTACTACTACAAATTTAAATTCCGTTGTCCCATTTGGATGTAAGTTTGGCAAAGTCATAGACAATATAGTTAGTACTTTTTCATGTAACAACCAACTGCTCCACATTTTCCTAGACCCATGCCATATGCTTAAATTAGCTAGAAATTCTCTAAATGATTTGGGTGTTTTTATTGATGATGAGGACCGCTATATTAAATGGAGTTATATTAAAGCACGTTGCGTTTCTAGAGCTTGAAGCTCTAGAAACGCAACCATCTTTCTTAGGAGCAAATAATACAATCTGTTTTATAAGAGTTATTGATAAATTATTTAACATGCTCAATTCCAGAAAACCAAATGGTAAACACTTTAAGAAACCTCTATATCTAAATAATCAGCTTTATTGGAAAGATTTTTTAAACACTTCGATTACTTATCTAAGCAAGTTGACTGATATTAATGGCATTCCATTGCTTTTACATCGAAGAAAGACATTTGTTTTAGGTTTAATTGTAGATGCTAAAAGCACT